AGGCGTTTCAGACCTCCTAGGCGTTTGAGACCCAACGCGTGTGCGTTCAAAGGGGCGAATAGCATGAATTCAGCTGGAACAAAGCAAAGAATGTAATTAGAATTGTAATTACTAGCTTCTTGTTGCTACTAGTAAGGCACTTGTTACTACTAGCGATGCACTTGTAATTACTAGCAAAGGAATCTACTAGGAAAGCTTCTTTGCTTCATTTGTATTTGGCTCAAGATGCCAGGTAGATCGACCGATGAGCCCATGGACTTCTAAGAGACAACAGGCATCACCTGACTAAATGCTTTCCTCCACATTGAGGAAAAATCATAAGATATCATAAGTCAGTAGCTATATTCGGTTGGAGCACCCCCCCCGCCCCAATAGTCATTGAGTCTTTTCAAATGCAATTTGTTTGGTGATTGATCGAATAGTAGTAACCTCTCAAAAGGTGAAATAAGGACCAGCGGATGATGAACACCAACGGGTCGCGGGCGGGCCTTCGGTTTGATGACTGAGGCGGATATGGGATGAAACCACTGTTTTCAAAGAGTTTTTCTGGTTAAAGCCTGCTTCTTTGAGGCCTTACCAAGATCTGGTAGCTTTGTGGAGGAGAAGCCTTCATTGTATGAACTGCATGTGTGAGTTCAGTCTTGCACTTGGCAATCAGTAGAGAATTACCAGCATACAGGTTCTCAGTCACAGTGGTAAACAGTGGGATGCTTCTAGCACTCCGCAGGACCATTTCCAGGATGCCAGCTGCCTGAGACAAGCAAGCCACTGCTTCAAGGAGGCTAATTGAATGCAAAAGTTGCTGAGTTCTGACAGACATCAAATCCGCAATACAAGGCAGTTCCACTTCAAGGCAAACAGATTGTGCTATTTTCCTGTGATACATAGGATCGGGACACTCGATGAGAAGGAATCGCAGGAACACCAAATGGAACCTTTGATTGATTGGGGTAGTGTCCAGTGATTGGGGATTGGCTGGCTACTTGTAGGTATACATAGCCCATCCTGCTGAAGTCTTCTCTGGGAGCCAGGCTCGTGATGGTTGTTTTGCAGTGGATGATGCCCTTGAATCAGACTTCTCGCCCATCACGTTTTGCAACTTTTTCCGTGTTCAAGCAAGTCATACTTTGTCCAGCGAGAGGATTCCAGCACGCGACGCAATTGAATGCAGAAGTCCCGAATGAGGTCTTGCTGCATGTCTACGAACTCTTCGAGCCTCCACCCAAGCCCGAGATAGCCAGGTTTACATGCGGCAATTAACTCTGGCACCGGATCCGCAGCTTCTCAGCCTAAGGTTTGTGCGAGTGAACAAGATCCTCGCGTTGCGCACCCGAGTTACATTGATATTGAACACCCCGTATCACCTGCAGCAACAGTACGTTTGATCCTACGGCATTCAAACATCAAGCAGACAAGAAGGTAGGTTGTGTGTAAAACGGCCTTACCTTCTTCATCCTTCTTCCTGTCCTTTCCTCTCTTTGAGTGCCCTAGGAAGAACTCACATTCGTGAGGTCAGAACTGCTTCCGCTCGGTGGAGCACTTCATGCTGGTGTGGAGGCTCTCGAGTGAGCTCCGGTTACAGCCTGTGGCCCTCCTCACTTAATTCAGCTACTTAATTGATCTTAATTGAGTAAGCTCAAGTTCGCTCCTAGTTAGCTTGTAGTAACGAGGAGAGCTTCCTTGAAGAAGCGCTCGCACTAATGATTTGGTTCCTAGATTTCTAGAGGAACTTGACCTTTAGGAATACACGTCTGTGAACGTACCGTATATAATCCTATACATATGTGTATATGATTGGAGATTTATACACAATATGGTTATATATAATTATACGAAAGCCAGCCGATAGGCTAGGCTTGAGCTTTTAGAGCGAACGAAGTGAGTTAAGGGGGTGTGGGGGGGAGGTCGTGAAAAGGCACAATTTGAGAGGGCGAACCCGGAGCTTGGTGGGGGAGAGCGCTCCAAAGCGAGGGTCAGAAAAGCAGTGAAAATGGGGTCTGGTGATGCGAGTGATGCAATGGAGTGGAGACAGGGACCCACGTACAGAGCAGACCGCCGCCGCATGTAGGACTTGAGTTCCCAGGACAACCCGTAACTCGCGAAGTCCATAGAGAACCGAAAGTGACATGAGTTCAAGTCCATGATTTTGGATTGAGTTTCGAGGTTGACTACATATCCGCATAGGGTTCCTATACTTGCACCATGTCCTCAGTCGAGTGGATACTTCTCGCGGCGTCCACACGCACCGAACATTTTTTCCGGCTTGTCGGTACAGATAGATAGATAGATAGATACATATATGGATACATAGATGGATAGAGAGATAGAGATATTTTTGCGAATCCAGTCAGCCTGGCTCCACTGCCCAAAGATCTGCACACGCAGGTGCCAAAGTCAAGGCCTCTGAGTGAGAAAAGCGCAGAGTTGATAAGAAAGAGAAGAATAAAGAAGGTGTTTGGATCGTTTAATAAAGGCCCCTTTAAAGGAAAAAGACTGTGTTTTGGATCGACCCAGGACATGACTCACTCAAGTCCAGGCATGTGCATCGATAGACACACAAATCCTCACTCCTTTGCTGGCCCATGCTACTCCCGCGCGACCTCCCCTTCTGCGCCGCGGGATCAAACGTCCGTGTCCCGGCTAAGACGCGCCCGTTCACTCTTCCATATCCACGAATGCCGCTTTTTTCGACGCGCCGCAGTATGCATTGCAAACTTCAAACACTCCAAACGTAACAAACACATCCACGCCATACTGGCGTGTGCGCGCGCCGCGCCCGCGCGGCGACGCTGATGCGCGCACGTGGTATCCCACCACTCGAACTCAGATGGTATTTCCCCTTCGCTAACGCTGATGTCGCCTTCCAACTTCTATGAGGCGCATACCTTCCTGCGTGTGACAAACACATGCCATTGCATTGTGATGATGACCTACACCAACATACAACGTATCGCACTTCTCTTTCGCTACTTCTTTCATACCAAACTCATCCCAAAGCCGCCCGGCTTGCTTCTCTGCTCCCTCCATCACCCCCGCGCATCCGCAGCACTGCTGACTCGCAAGCTGCCGACCATGTGTCTTGCGCCGCGACGCCCGCCAGAAAAAGGCTGCTGGCTTTCGTCCCCCCCTTCTCTAATATATAGCATATTTGTACGTCACAAAGTCTTTGTAGGTCGGACACTGCTGACGCATAGTCCTACCAACCCACGCTCCGGACTGCACTGCGCTTGGGAAGCAAGTCTATAAGGGCGTTAGGTCCAACTTCTACACAAAAGCACAAGTGGTGAGCTTCCCCACGTGCACACTCTTGGGGTGAAAGGCTTTGACCTGTAACAAAGGGACAAAGGGTGTATATTATTCAACGTCGAAGATACAGCGCATGTAGTCTGCACCAAATAGGCAGAATAAAACTAAATGAGTTGAAATAACGTCGTGGAATTCCTTTCAATCTACAGTTCCGCAATCATCCATTTGTAGCTTGTCGTCAAAGGTCTACGGACGAGAATGGAGTTATGGAGGGTCCTCAGGCTGGGAGAGTCAGTGCAGTCTGAAATGAGTGGGGTGTCAGACTGTCAGATTCTTGGGTAAAACGTGTCTCAAAGCAAAGTCTGCTCGACTTGGTGAGTATGATTTGTTTAACCATTTGTTTGACTCCTTTTCTTTCATTGTTTCTTAGTCTCTCTTGAGTTGGAGTCGCCCTGCTACGCCAGGTAGTGGAACGGGTATCGTCTGTGAAGTTCCGCGGACCAACCGGAAGCATCGGCCCGGGACTTCGATTTTAACTCTTGCTGCTTCTTGTTACTAGTAACTAGTAGTAATGCCAGGAGCTACTAGTAGCGTCCTTGCTCCTAGTAGCGATGCCCTTTGTTACTAGTAGCTTCTTGTTACTAGTAGTAATGACCTCCAACCTAATAGCGATGGCCTCCAACCTAGTAGCTTCTTGTTCCTGCAGCTTTGCAAAGACTTCTGCTGCAGTTTTTGTTGGTTCCTCTCTTGAGGTATCGAGAGTCCATCCCTCTGGGCTACACACGCCTTACCAAGGCAGAGGTTCCTCCGAGAAAACACTTGTGTTATCAAGTTGTGACTTCGAAAACACAAAAGCCACAGATCCCTCAGGTTGCGCTCGTGCTGGGGGACTTGGTGGAGGTTTGGCGCGGAGAGGACTGGCTGAACTGCCAACTGGCACAGCTGCAAATCATTGCAAACCTTCACTTTCGCTATATCTCGTTGAAAAGCATGTTGAGATATGTTGAGATAAGTTAAGGGTACACACAGTGCGGCAGGACTATCACTGGCTCAACAACAATTGCTTGTCCTTTGCCAATGCCTTTTGCCGAAAGCTAGGCTTGGCAGCTTGGCCCGACAACTGACTTGAGCAGCACGGATGAACAGCCGTTAGAGGTGTCGGGGGCATTCCAGCATGGCACGCGACTCAGTGGTGGTGCGTGTACTGTACCACAGAGGACTGACTCAGGAGCGCTTGACCCTGACTGCAGGATCGATCGACTACCTCGAGGCGTCTCCGCCGTCAAACAGGGTGAGCTCCTTGGGTTTGCTCAGGTTCCGGAATCGGATGGAATCCCCGTCCGTGGATGTCGCCCAGGAATGCAGTGCGTGGCCGAGAGAGTGCGTGATCTTGCAGATGGTACGTTGGAAGTTGTACACGTCCTTGGCTCAATTGCCTGCATAAAGAGATTGAAGTTGGGCCCTTTTCAACATTGCCAAATAGTTTGTCTTTCTTTTCTTACAGCAAGCTTGCATGAAATGTTAAAAACTTGTGAGGCCATCGTCGAAGGCTGGATTGATTGATTTGAGCTTCATCAGAAGGAATTGCAACAATTGTATCCAGCAGACAATCGCCAGTTAGCATATTGAGATTTGACACGACTCCACAGCTTTCTGGCTCAAGAAAGCACGCAATGAGTAAAGATAGGGTAGGAGTGCAGGCTTTATCTAGCGTTTCAGCTCAAAGTCGCAAAAGTTAGGATAAAGACAAGAGACCTGAACTGACTATGTATTTGTTTTGTGGCTGCTTTGTATTCCGACAGTGTGGAGCCAAAACCTCAGATCAGCTCACAGGGGCTAGATTTGACACGATTTCTTTAGATGTGATTAGATGTGCATAGTTTGAACCTTCCATGGGCATGACATTGCTATAGCTTTTCTGCGAAAAGCAATTGAGGCGTTTTTTCAACCAAGAGCATTTGCTCAATGGTGTGTATGTTGTACTGGTCCAAACAGTTGACAGACAGTTGTAAATACAATGTAAATAGTGAGTGCCCTAAAAACCCAAAAGATGTTTGACCAGCTGGATTGAGCTGCATGGCCTACTTGACCCATTTTGAAGTTGAGGTGTATTGCATCGCCCTCGACACTGCATCCTGCCTGCATTGGATGCGCGTGGTGTTTCTGTGTTTGTGCTATGGTAGCTATGGGAAGGGAGCGTCACAAGACATGGGATTCGTCCAGGCCCTATTGGCAGCGTGCATTGTTGCATTGTTTACCAAATGCCAAAGTCTTCTACCAAATATATCCTTTGGGTTGATGTTGATGCGTCTCGCTACTTGTGCTCTTTCAGGATTCTTGTAGGTCGTTCCCAGTGCCAAGAGACACCTTTCAAGCATGCCGTCCAAGCGGCGAAACAATGGTCGCTCCAAGCATTGCCGTGGGCACACGGCCATTGTGCGCTGCTCCAACTGCTGCCGTTGCGTGCCAAAGGATAAGGCCATCAAGCGCTTTCAGGCACTCCAAAGGGAAAACCAGACATGAGGGATGAAAATGATGAAAGAGGTCTTGGCGCTCAAAAAGACAACAAAAGCAGCTGGCTGTTAGTCAATATTATATATATACATACACACGGACATGTCGTGTGATTCTTAGTCAAAATTGAACTGCCAGGTGAGGAACATGGTGGATGCGTCATCGCAGCGAGACTTGAGGGAGGCGAGCGTCTACCAAACCTTCATGCTCCCCAAGCTCTACATGAAGATGCTCTATTGCGTCTCATGTGCTATCCACGGCCGCATTGTTCGTGTGCGGAACAAGGTTTTGCGAGCAAGCCCAGAAGGCCGCATCTACAAGCCCCCCATGGGCAAGGGTGGCGGCAAGGGCAACTGAGAAGATCTGATCAGGACATGCAGCGGCACTGAGAAAGATGACAAAAAAGGAGCCATACTGCAGCAGCCATACTCTTGATTTCTCACGTTGTCCAAAAGTTTGGACATCTTGAAACATACTGAACACATTTTGTTGCTGCATGCTTCATGCTGACTGAGGCATGGGTGCATAGATTGGAAGTCAGTGCAATGAGAGCTCAGATGAATTGTGCTCAAAGAAGCATGCGTGGCAAGGAAGCATGTGGGTAGAGTTGATTGAAGTTCCAATTTACTTTTTGGATTTGGCTGGCTAAGCAGCCTTGATCATGAGTGCATGATTCAAGTGCAGTCACTTGAACGTCTTGGTTGTCCCAAAAGGAGTCTTGTGGAGCTTCAACTGATGCCGGTGTCATGCACGGGACACCGGGACAGTGACTGAAAATGACAGAAGCGTCCTTCACGGTGACCACTGCAAACAACAAGTAAATTAGAATGCCCTGTGTATCCAGTTGTTTGTTGATTCATTTATTAGTCACCTGGAAAGTTGTTGATTAAGGGATCGAGATAGTAAAGCAACGACGAGGAGCATTTGAAATGAGATAAGGCACTGCACGCATTGGGTAGATTCATTGCTCGTCATTTGGGAAAAAGAAAAGGATTTTGTTTGGGCAGTTTGATGTCAAATATGAGTTGCTGCCTGCCAGAAGGTTGCTTTGTATATGTTTCCTGTCTATTGCCTTGTCAGGGAAGCTGGACTGTGCCAGCTGCCGGCCAGCACCATCTTTCGCATCATCGTTTGATACGCTCTTCAGATGCATTTCATTCTGTCTTGAAGCGTTCTCAGGAAACATTGACAAGATTAGGTGAACGGCAGCGGACAGTACTCGTCCATAATGATTTTCTCCAATGGAACTTGCTTGATATTCCACCTTTGATTCGTCTCGCATTCGTATTGCTGCCAAGGCAGGACGCTCCAGGTAGCTTCATGCTGACGTTTCAATCTCAAGCCTGCTGTTGTGCTGAATCAATCAAAAGCAAGCATTAGCAGTGGAAGACACTGAGACTAGATAAGACTGCATTACGCAAAGGCCTGCCTTTGGGGCGAGCTTTGTCCATCATCGCCTGGCCAATGCAAGTGAGGAACCAAGCCGTCAGTGTTTGTCAATGCAAGTCACAATGGCGAACAGTTATCAAAGGCCCGAAGGAAAGAAGTCAGAACAGCGAACCAAATATAATTGTACATATAGAGATGTGTCTTTTCCTGGATGCAAAAAAGCAGTCCTCAGGTAGCCGAGAAATGGCCGCCGTGCTCAGAGAAGATGCCACAAGCTTAGCGCACGAGGAAGTTTGTTACCGGTGCTACCCCGACATGTCAGTGGCTAAAAACAAGTATATATATAATTATGTGTACATATATATGTATATGTATATGTATATATATATAAACATATTTATATTTATAACTATACATGTACATGAGTATACGTGTTGGTCCACTGCACGAACTTTGCATGAGCTGGCTCCGGCCGAGGCCGTCCAGGCACAGCCCAGGCCAGCATGACATGTTTGTTGGTTGAAAGAGTTTTGCATTCAGAGCAACCAGGCGCACTCGACAAACGAGACCTGTCCTGGCAAGTGTGGAAGAGGATATCATTTGCGACAGACTGCCATGTTTCCTTACAGTTTTGTGGAAGTGAGAAGGTTATTCTATCAGCACATTCCAGCAAGATCGTTTTTGTGCCAAGCATAGCCGAATTTTACGTCGACGTACATTAATACATATTAATACGTACATATATGTTATACTCTATACACTGCTTGTGATTGACCTAGCAACCACAGGTTTGCAATGCACATTTGCGCATTTGGTCACAGTGGTCTTACTTGCCACGTTCAATATTGCTTGACATAGATGGAAACAACTAAAAAGATGCGACCAATTGAAACAAGACTATGCGACCAATTGAAACAAGACTATGCGGCGTAGGTGCAGACCACTGCTTAATTATGCGCAAACAGCTCAACAAGGTGTTGTCCACAAGAGTTAGTTCTCCAGTTCTCCTCCAACTCTTGCCAAACAGGGGTTTCCTGCACCAGCATTTTCTCTAGGCACTTCATTGGAGCCTTTGCTTTGAGCCTTTGTAGATGTCCTTGCTTCCTGGGGTGAAAATGGTCTTACTATCTCACCCTTCCCCAGTGTTGATCCATTTGATTTGCATCAAGAAAGCCGTTTGACCGGCCATCACGAATCACACTCGAACTGACTCGAGATTCTGTCGATTTGATTTACTCTCAGACTGTCAATGAAGCTTTCTCCGGCAAGCACCTTCGATTCCTTCAACAAATTCACGTTCATTCTTCCCCGGTTCTTCTATCGGATTCTATCGCAAGTGAAGCAGTACTTTATGGTGCAGCAAGCGTCCCAAATCCCCAGACTTGGGTTTAGTTTAGTTTTGATGTCTCTTATATTTGAAGCTTGAGATCCCTTTCTTCAAAGTAAGCATGCCTTGTTTGATCAATGGACTCGTTACCTATCTAATCTATCTAAGCCCTTCTTTTCTTGTAGGAACCTATCAACGAGTTGCGTACTCCGTCCATCCGGTCCATCGTCAGGACTATGGGCAGCAATTAACAAACTGCTAACACAAAAGCAGTGCATTAGCAAGCTAATTTGAAGAAGCAACATTACATTAGCTTGTATATACAGTCCCGACGCGGCCAGTGCATGACAGCGTGGTTTGTTTGAGTTCGCATCATGAAGGTTGTTTGTTTTACTCAAATGCTTGCCACAAGTACTTTGTAGTGATGCTACTAGGAACAAATGGTATCGGTACTAGGAGCAAGGACGCTACTCGGGGCTCCTGGCCTTACTATATACTAGGAACAAGGACGCTACTAGGAGCAATGATTGATTTTTTTTGAGATGCCAATGATACGCAATTGTCATGCATTGGTCAGTCCAAATTTGGTGCATCTTCACTGCTCAGCTCCGGCTGGACAAAGATGATTTGCTGACCAAACACGCTGGGAGATCTGAAGAGAGCTTTTCAGGTTAGAGTTGAGATGTTGCATTGTTGTTCTTTTGAGACACTTGAAGCATGCCTGCTGCCATGCCCTTGTCGATTCTCAAGGATGCTTGCCCGCGCAAGCATTTGGTAGATTTACCTAATAGAAACAGGGAGGGTCAGGCAGAGATGATGTTAAATTTTGTGTAGAATGCTCTTCTTGCTTATACTTATACTTCAATAGCAACACAAGCTGAGTTTGGTTATTATTCTCGGAGATAGACAGGTCATTTGCTACCTTGTTCTCAGGTAGCTGTCTATGCAGCGTGCGTATTCTAAATGTGCAAAGTGAAGCGCCAAAAGTTTTCCTTGCAGATCTGCAGAGTCTTTTCAATTTTTGGCCGGTGCCTTCAATGAAGCGCCTGGCGTGCAGATGTACTAGGTGGTGCCACCAGGCCTGGAATTCGATTGTTCTGTGTTCCGTCGTTCCGTACATCTTCCCAACATTTCCCACCTTGCAGGTCTATGTTGGCCTTCCAGCACTTAGGCAAGTTTCGGATGCCCCAGAAATGCTGGTTGACAAAATCTGATGAAGATATTGTTTGCTTGTTATAATGTGCAATTATGCAGGCAACCTGTAGATGATCAGGTCACATCACCTGCTTTTGTGCTCAATACAAAGCATCCGTCTTCCACAGTTCGCAACAGATTAGCGACACCACAAACGGCCTGCCTGCGCTTCACTCTGGCAGGCCGTTTTCGTGCGTGCCCTCCGCATCGGCAGTGCGAACATCGCACAGTTTCACTCCGGGGTCAATTTTGCCAGGCACAGTTGAGGCAGGGCTCATCCAGAAATTGATTGCTTGGTGTTTCATTAAGTTGCATAATCATTATGGAGAAACTATATCTTATATTCATACAGCTACAACGTACTATAACTAAACTAAAGGCTTTGTGTTGGCATGGAGAATCAAGTCTGATGATTTTGCAACCGATGCTCCGGTCCGACGTCAAATTTGTTTACAAGACGTGCTTTGAAGCTGTCTAAGGTGTCAAAGCAAAGATTTGAGGAGCTTTTGGAGTCAGAGATGGTGCATTTTGCTAGGGCTCTACGTCCACATCCAGTCAGCCTGGCTGATTTGCGCTTTTGGGGGTGTAAGGGAATTGTGGTGTGATGTGGTCTGTGTGGTTTTCATGTTTTACGCTAGTTTGGGCGTAATTACGCAACTACCTTCTGGCAGATGACGCTCCAACAAATTCTCCACCTCACCGATCCCACTGCACTGCGGACATTTCTTTTGGAGGCAAGCGTTCTGCGGTAATTTGCGCCAACTCATTCTGTTGCTCCTGCAGCTTCATTCAACATTTGCTCCAGGAGCTACCCATTAGGTATGCTCGGCGCGTACAGCTTGTTGAGGCATATTTGACGTGGGCAGGGATGTCATTTTGAATCTTTGCTCCACAAGGTATCAGATATCACGAGCTTCACAGCATGCTCTCATGAGAAGTTGGCGGATAAGCAACAGTTGGCAGTTGATGAGGTACTTTTGGCCTGCATGCCTTTCCTTTTTAGATGCCAGTGAAATCAGCATGTTTGAAAGTGGAAGAGTTACTTTTCAGATCCCTACCCCTTACCTAGGGAGTTGAGGGGGCGATGTCACAAATGTAACTTACATTTTCTGGGGCCCCCTAGGGGTCTTTTTTATTGTAAGTTAACCCTCCTTGACGTCCTTTGGAGGGGGGTGCTCAAACATGTAACTTAGAACGTGGGAGACCTTTACATACATTTATCAACCCCCCCCCAAACCACTCACTTTGGGGGGCCGGTTAAAAGATGTACCTTACTGTCCCCGGGGGAGACCGGTCTTTGGGCTTCTTAGGCGCCCTTGTGGCGAAGTTGTCTCTCCCTCGAGAGACCGCCACAGGGAGAAACCGATGTGGCACACCCTCCCCGTGGCCTTTCGGATCTCTCGGTGTGGGATGTGTGGAGAAAGTTTAGTTTTTAATTGTTGGCTATTTGGCATGTCTTTCCTTGATGTTTGAAGAGTTTTGAGGACTTA